TTAACTCTTCTTGAGCTGGACTTTTGATTTGTATTTTGTAATATCATTATTTTGTGCTTATGCTTGTACTTATGGTTGTTGATGGTTATGCTTAATTATAGTTGTGCTTATGGTGCAAATTTGTGCTGATGGTTGTTGATTGTTGAATGCTTTATGAAGCTGGTTTCAAGTTTCTAGTTTCTATCAGGGGATAGTGAATAACTGGATACAGAATCTCTGACAGCTAATAGTTTTGAAGTTAATCATTAAACTAAAATACTTACTATCACATATATCACCTTCATATTTTTTTCTATGCATTAACTTATTTTTTTAGATTTTTTTAGATTTTTTTAGAATTTTTTTACATTTATTGACCGCATCATCGCGATGCACCCGCATCCGAGCCGCATCGAGCCGCATCACCGCATCGGCCCCCCACTGCATCAGGGCCGCATCCGGCATTTTAAAACACTGGATAAAGCAAAATAAAAAATGGGATAGAGAAAAAACCCGAGAGAGAAACAAATCAGGGGAGAAAGACAAACCAGAGAGAGAAAAAACTGAGATGTACCTTTGTGATGAGGCTCGTAGGAGCAAAGAGAAGGTGCGAGATGGTCTCTACTCTGTGGTTAGGGCAGTCGAGGGCAAAAAAATACCCTCTTCTTCGCGAGGGCAGTCGGGGCTGGGTAACTTACTTTTACCCTTCAGCGATGTCTCCTTTTCAAGTTTGTGTTTTTACACTGAACTTGTCCTAAGCCTAAAAAGAGGTAACAGGTAAGTACCTAGTAAGTTACCTTTTAACTTGCTTGTTTTTATCAAACATGAAACTGCTACAGGAACAAGTAAGCTCCATCTTCTAGTAAGTATCTTCTAGTTATCAAACAAGCCCATATGGAAGATTTTCCATAAATTGGCTTCGTACTTCATAGAGATTTTTCACATTTTCTAAAAAATTTGTTGTTAATAAATTTGCCACAAGCTAAATGCAAGTAACAACTTAGATAAATAATCTCTATCTAGAACAGAGATTTCCAATGAAGTAAACACAATTAAAAGATATATAAATTAATTAGAAAATCACCATAAATAGGGGAACCTTTTTGTACCGCACTAAGTATAGGGAACTCATAAATACCGCCCCTCTCTTAGTCATTTGATCAAAATGGACGACCTGGATAGCTTCAATCATAATACTACAAGAGAGCCTCTAGGGCCTGTTTAATAACTGGAAGCAAGTTCATGAACTGTAAATTAGAAGTTCCTCTTTGCTGGGAAGAAAGAAGTTGCTGTAAGAAGCTATGGGTTTCTGTGTTTGATAATCTGCTGAAATGTTAAAGAAGTTCTAGGTTTCTGTTTGATAACTACTTCATGTCTTTTAAATATTTACAAATTATCTATGTTTTTATTATTCTATTTAGTTATTACTACATTCCAAGGAATGGGCAACGTTCATATTTACTAAAATTTATCACCCATCGGATTTATGGGCTTCCAACAATTCAGCGAATTGGAATTACATGGCTACTCAATCATGAAATTGTTAAAATTTATCTTCAAGTCTTATTACCATTGTAAATCAACTAAGTATAGGGAACTCAAATATACCTCCCCTCTCTTAGTCAATTGATCTGAATGGACAACCTGGATAGCTTCAATCATAATACTACTAGTGAGTCTCTAGGGCTTGTTTGATAACTGTCTCTTTGTCATTTGATCTGAATGGACCACCTGGATAGCTTCAATCATAATACTACTAGTGAGTCTCTAAGGCTTCTTTGATAACTGGAAGCAAGTTCATGAACTGTAAATTGGAGGTTCCTCTTTGCTGGGCAAAAAGAAGTTACTATAAAAAGTTTTGGGTTTATGGGTTTGATAATCTGCTGGAATGTTAAAGAAGTTCTGGGTTCTGTGTTTGATAACTACTTCATGTCTTGCAAATATTTACAAATTATCTATGTTATTACTACATTACAAGGAATGAGCAGCTTTCATATTTACAAAAATTTATCACCCATCGGATTTATGGGCTTCCAACAATTCAAGCGAATTGGAATTACATGGCTACTCAATCATGAAATTGTTAAAATTTATCTTCAAGTCTTATTACCGTTGTAAATCCACCTTGTCGGTACCAATGAAGCACCGAATGATCGTTTTTCCATATCCACAAGCACGTGATAGGCATCAAAGCTCACCATTGAAAATATTACATAGCAAGCCATACATTTCATTCACAAGAATCAACTATGAAAGTAATAATCAAAAAAATCAGAACATAATTTCTCGTATAATCCATTCCATACATTTTATTCACAAAATCAGAGCATAATTTCTAATACTATGCAAAAAAAAAATCATAGCTCCGAGATTACAATTGAAAGTAACAAAGAAAAATGACATTTAATAAGGAGGAAGAAAAGTAACAAAGATGAATATTAATAGTAAACAATGAAGAAAAAAAGAAGATTAAGAAAAATGACACTATCAAATCTGCACCGAAAACTCTCTCTCACAACCCAAAAGACAAAAAATGGACACCCTCCCTACTTCCCTACCCCTCCCTTCCAAACTCTTAATCCCCCTTGTTCACTACCATATTTTGTTTGTATTTTTTGTTGCACATGTAGACGAGTAAGAATAGCAAAAAGTAAACGAGAGTAATAAACAAAGATGAAAAGAAGAATCACTGGACGTACCTGAGATGTCTTCAACGGCTTAAGCTATAGAGAGTATATAGCATTGGGGTTGCAGAGGGACTCGGCTTGCAGAGAGAGATAAAAGGCGCTTGGGTAGGGGCTAGAGAGAGAGAGAGAGAATGGGCTTGGGGCTGTAGAAGAGAGAGTGAAGTTATGAGTCCTGGCACCCTAGGTATGGCTCTCTCCACCATTTTCTGCTAGATATAAGAGAGCGAGAAACAGAGACAGAGAGAGCACGGCTATGGCGGTTGGGGAGAGGAAGCGGCCAGGATTTTCGAGAGGAAGCGGCTATGGCAAGGGTTTGTCACGCAGGTGGAATGCTTATTCGAACTTCCCCTCGAATCTTCCACCTTCAGTCCATTTGGTCCTATAAGTGGTTTTTTTGGGAAAGGTTTTATATAGAGCCGAGGCTCTAAACAATCAAATCGGAGCATACCTCAAAAATTCACCGCAAAAGGATGTTTTGGTGCTCAAATATCTTCAAATTCATCATCGCCACGTCAATATGTAGGAACACGAGAAAAAAGAATAGATTTCAAACTTTAAAAATATTGTATTTTACACCACATTTTTTTTGACAGTCAATTTTTAAGATTTTCAAGTTTTATAAATCTCTCGTCATTATTTTTTAAACTTTAAACTTTACAAATAAAAATGAAAATATTTTTTAAAGCTATTAAGAAGATTTCAAGTATTGAAACCTTCATACTATTTGAAGGTAGGCTCTAATTTAGTTGTTTAGAGCCTAAGCTCTATATAAACGGCAACTTTTTTTTTTCTACAGTACCAACAACTTCCCATTTTAAACTTACCAACTTCTATCAAACACATGAGAGCTACATAAGAGCTATAGGTAAATTATGGGAAGCAACTTCGTTTTATCAAACACGCCCTGATTATTTGATATTTAGCTGATGGCTCAATTATTTTACTTTTACTTCTTTCTACAAATCATATGATATCGAATTTTGGGGTGTCTCATCCTCTCAAAGGGGAACCTAAAAATTATATATTAAAAATATCTGACAAAATAAAATTGCCAACCTATCCTAAAATTTATTTATTATTGATAGCAAATTTGGGCTTGCCGACCTCTCAAATAGCGCATCTAATAAAATATTAAAATTTTGACAAAATGAAATAAGCAAATTACCTTCAAAAATTTTAGGTGTATTTTGGTCAGAATTTTTTTAATATATTTTTCAAGTGTGCCCCTTTAAGAGGATGAGATAACCCAAATTTGGTGTTAATATAATTTTGTAGAAAATTATAAAAAAGCAATAATATTTAGGCGCAATCAGATCAAACGGTTGGGAGAGGGGTGGCACATGTGATTTCCCTGTATCCAATGGCATATAGAAAGGTTCCCCATGCACATAAGGCCTTCCCAACCGTTTAAATTTAAAAAAAAAAAAGAACACGGGCGTTTGATTTTGAACTACTTCCAAGTTTGAAGGTCGCAACAACCTGGGCCTAGGCTAACCTTATTAAGCTAGGTATATCGTAAATCATAAATATTTTAAAGCCAAAAATATCATAAATAGTTTTTTTCGCCTCATAATAGCATAAATAGCTTTGTTATTTGCAGACAATACCATTTCAGAGAAATGAAATTTGTAACTTTAAAAAGTTTCTAACGACCTTTATGTATTTATGAGTTTGTTGTTTTTTGGTTTTTCCATTTGTTTTTCCAACTTTTCAGTTTTAACAACTTTAATGACATGTTTAGTTCACGTGAAAATGTTTTTTCATATAAAAAAATTCTCTCATGCAGTCAAGTATGGGAATAATTTTACATCAATTACTTACCAATTGGTGTGAAAAGATGTACTAAAAGTCTAAAACCAATTGGTATGAAAATATTCCCACACTTGACCACATGAAGTAATTTTTTCATGTGAAAATATTTTCTAGAAAATATTTTCCCGTGAACCAAACACGTTCTGAAATTTCAGCGTTTCTGCCTTGCAATTTAAACCAAAACACCAGCCCTTCTGCTATGTTATACCTGCTATTTGAACATAAAATGTCTTTTATGTTTTATCCAATTCTTGATTTTAAATGAAGGAAACATTGTCAAAATACTGGTGTGAGATAAACTATTTACCATTGTACCCATATTGTATGTTTTATCCGATTCTTGATTTTAAATGAAGGAAACATTGTCAAAATATTGGTGTGAGATAAACTATTTACCATTGTACCCATATTGTTTGATTTAATTTCAAAGTACTTATAAAAAGATACATGATCATGAGTTCGTATGGCGTCAAAATTGTAAAAGACTAAATAATGCATCTCTCGTATGTATTTTGAAGATTTTCCCTTAATGCATCTCTCATGGGTATTTTCATAAATTTTCCTTAAAATGATATTATATAAAGAAAAATAGGAGAGAACATAAAAAAAATTGAAGAAATAAATAAATAAGTAGGAGAAAACAAAGGCAAATTCTTAAAATATTTTAGAAAGGGCTGCTTATTATGTCTCTCAAATATATGAAGTATAAAAAATAATATTTATATATCAGTATTTAGCTTATCTAGAAAAAGGAGAGGAATATAAAATGCCATATATAAAACCTAGGGAAATGTAAAATACAATGCAATTGCTATAGCTCTATTTATATCTATACTACATTATTAAGTCAGAGTTAAGGAGTGACCATATCTAACAAGAATAAAAAAAGACCTTGGAGAGGATATAAGACATGTGACATCCAAAGCGATAATAAAGTATTTATCTGTTTCTATTATTTGACAAAAAATATATGAGATAAAAACTCTCGTGCTAAGGATGACCTTGGCTAGTAGACCCCAAAAATAAAAATATAGATAAGTAAGAGAATTCCAAATTAGATATATCTTTATCTAATTAAAAGTTCTCTCAACACTATATTTTAAGAGGCCGTTTGGATACCTAGAAATATATTGTTTGTGAAATATATTACCTGCAAATGGATTCTTACTGTTTGGATAGTATTTAGATGCAACATGGGAAATACATTGCTATTACCTGCGAATAGATTATTACTGTTTGGATAGTATTTAGATGCAATATGGGAACTACATTGCTATTGTTTGGCTGTATCCAGAAGAAATATGGGAAATGCATTACCAACATTTTACCAGCACTTGTTTGGCTGTATCCAGAAGAAATATGAGAAATGCATTACTAACATTTTACCAGCACTTGCCTATAAACTATCAGTTCTTTTTCTTCTTCTTTTTTGTCACATATCTCCTACATGTAGAAATGTTGGCTTAGCAATAAACTTATTTTTAAAATTTAATTCGATCTGAATTTTTAGAGAATATATAATGTTTAACATGGAGACCATGAATATGAATAAATAAATAAAATTTGAAAACTAGATTTAATAATTATATTAAGAAAACATTTGGATGATTAGTTACTATTGTTTTTAGATAGTCTGCCTATTTTCATCCATCTTTAAGATAGATGCTTTATACCTTTGAACCGTATATTGTAGAAATGCAATCCAGCCTGCATAAAACAATTGTTCACGAGGTATAGATAGTAATCTAGGGAAATATTAATTAGGCAGTTTTTAGATAAGGGTTAAGTTCATAAGAGAGAGACAATAGTTGAGAAGGGTTGAGTTCATAAGAAAAAGAGTCCCGGGTAGAGAAGGGTTGAGTTCATACGAGAGATAATGAAGGGGTGACGTAGGGAAGGGTTACAAGCTAGAGTTATGAGACGAGCAAAGAAAAAAAAAACACACGGTTTCTATACAGCCAGCCTGCATATTGTAGAAATGTGGGCTTGATAATAAATATATATTTTAAATATAATTTAACTTTAATTTTAAGGGAATATATAATCTTTAACATGATGATCATGAATATGAAAAAACAAAAATTGTAAATTAGAAACAATAATTATATTGAAAAAACATTTGGACCATTAGTTACACTTGTTTTTAGATGGAACACCGACTTGCATCCCTCTTTAAGATGGATGCTTTATACTTTCTGGACCGCATATGTAGAAATGCGGTCCAGCATGAAACAATTTTCAAAAAAAAATTCATATGAGCTTCTTTTAAAGTCCGATTTTTTTTCTTGAAAGTTGTGATAAATATTGATATGTTAGATTTGACATAATAGCTAAGAAAAGTTGTGACTTTCTTGTACAAGAAATAAATGGCCTCATAGTATACAATCTCTAAATTAAATAGCTTAAATCTATCTATATTTTATTCGAACACCTTTGCCTTCGATAGGCCTCATACATTGATGGTGGTCCTACAATTGACTTGTATAACCTTAGTGCAAAACTGAAAATAGGGCTGAAAATGGGCCTGGCGTAGCTTGAGCCAGCCCTACAAGGTCTATACAGGACTGGCCTAAGTTTGAGCTCAACTTAAACTCAACCAGGTCTGGACCAAAGGAACCCTAGGTCAGGCTTGACTCAATCCGGATCTTATTACTCAAGAAAAACAAAAAAAACAAAAACAAAATTTACAAAACAAATATATTTTTTTAAAAAAATTTTGACAATAATCCTGTATATTTCATATTTTATATTCAAGTCTCAAGTGGTATAAAATTTATTTTAATCATATCATTTTTTCTATATGTTGGATTAAGCTCTAATTTGGTATGTCCATACTTCTCACTCTATAAGTTAGATTAAAATATGTCCATACTTCTCACTTTCACACGCTTGTAAGAAATATTAAAAAATAAAGTTAAATAATAAATTATCAAAGGGAAAAGTTTATATAAGGTTGAAACCTTAAAATGTAAAATCACAGATGCACCTAAAAAATCTATCGAAAATATTGTTTTAATGTTGAAAAAACCTCCTAATTGATCATCTCGACATTGAGATGTATGAATATGAAAAAAAAAAAAAAATTGAGTCCCGAAAATAGTGCATCTTGCAACACATTATCTAGACCGTCCATTTTCAAGATTTTCATATATTTATAGATCTACTTGATTTTAACCATTTTTGGAATTTATAATTTTCTAATTAGGTATGAAAATAGATTGTAAGATACTACTAAGAATTTTTTATAACAAAATTACATGTTATGATAAAATTTTAAGATGCGCCTTGATTGGACTGTTTAAAGTTGCATCCTTATAGAAACAGCACCCTTATCAAAATACCCCTATAGTATTCATGGGTATATTTGTAATTTTATTTATTTTAGATTAAGCTTTAAAAAAATGTAGGTGTGTGACGGAAGAAAGTATGAACACACTAAATTTGAGCTAATTTGATCTATAGAAAAAAAAATAAAAATAAAAGAGAGAGATAAAATTAAAATACATCACAAAATTTAAAAAATAGGATTCGAGTGTAAAATATGAAATATATAGGACTAGTTCTGAATCCTGAAAAGTAAAGTAGAATTTTTGTGTAAATCTCTTGAAAAAAAAAAAAAAAC